TTTTTTTAAAGATTTTTTTTGCACGCAGCTTTTCCTTTCCAATTTTTGAATTAATTACGTTTAGCCGGTGGTCACTCTCTTAAGCCAGTGGTCACTATAATATGGCCCTTCACCGGCCGCAACATTCGATGTTTGGGTTCCTTGGCGAGAAGAAACATTTTGCAGGAAATGATGTGTGGCACGAAGGGAACAATCAGACATTCTGGTAGCCCTTTTCCACTCTTCCTCTACCCGCCAAATGCCTCCCCTCGACAAGAGACTCAAACAACGAAAGATACCGCGGCTGAAGGGTAGTGCAATGGGGGTGTGCTGCAGCAATTGCGCAGTGGGCACATATGATCCGGAAAACAATTTAGCACTTACGTGCGCCTACATTTCACGTACATTCACGTGAAAGTTCCAGCTCCTAAATTGTTTAACTCGCGAACCAGAAAAGTTAGAAAGCTGAAATTTCAATGCTCATTACAAGAACTATGTAATGGCTAGAAAGCAAAAAATTTTACAACTACGGAGAGTACTACAGATCTGAAATCAGATATCATTTCCATTACGGTTCGAAGCTGATTTTTTATAGGAAGTATTCAACACGATGCCATTTACGGGTTTGGTCGCAGGCAAAATATTATGCATGCATGGGGGTCTTTCACCGCAGCTGAAGAGTGTCGATCAGTTACGGCAAATCACTCGGCCCATTGATCCGCCAAATCCATCCATCCATATCGACTTGCTGTGGTCATTTTTCAGTTATAGTACGAACAAACAGATGCTATTTCGAATTCCAATCTTTTCGCGAAGATAAAATAGGGTATCTAAGCTAGTGAGCGATTTGCCAGTGATATGCGCTCTGCATTCCAGCTCGGGATGTCCGTTCAAGTTACCTACCGAGGATGAGTCGCACCTCCGTCCGTCTTCCCGTCAGCCAGCTAGAAGTGGTGGCATAAATTGGCCTGACATTTGGTTGCATACCGTGAAAATCCAGGGTTTTCATAATAGTAGTTGGAGTAGTCCCAAAAGATTTTTAGCAATTCTTCTGGCCCTGGTGTTTTAAAAGACGAATTTCGACAAAAAGATTTGTTGAACAGTATTTACCAAGCTAATGCCTATTAGTGAGGTCCTTAAGGATTTTTTAATGGCAAGCAGTGTGATCAGCTAAGTCCAGTAAAGTTAAAATTGCAGGTC